TTTTTTTTTAAATTTTCAGAATTTTATTTCTTTAGAATTTTAGATTTTATTTTTTAAAATTTAAATTTAAATTTTTTTATAATTTATCAATTTTATTTTTTGAACCTATATTTCTTGAATTTTATTATTTTTTAATATTTTAAATATTTATTTCCATTTTCCAAAATTTTAGTTTTCAAAATTTTACTTAAACACTTGTTTTCCATGTTTTGAATGTTTTTAGATTTTCCACTGAAAATACTCAAAGCATTAAAATTGCATTTTGAGTTATGTTATAAGTTTTTTCTTGTTTTCGAAAATGCGTTTTCAGAAACATCATACCAAACTTGGTTTTAATGTTCTGAAAAGCTGAAAATGAAAACAACTTGAAAATAGTAAAAACACACCCTTCTCCTCTATTTGTCTACCATTATTTTAAAATTCTTCTCTTAAATTCATTTTCAACCATATATTTTCATATTAAAATATAGGAAAAATTTCATCTCTAAGAGATTAAGTATGGTCCATTTCAAAACTAAGAAACAAAGTTTCAAAATTTAAAAATCAAATTTTCATTAATTTTTATTTATGAAATAATTAATTAAAAATATACTTTTTTAATTCAATGTATTAAGCTCACAATTCTATATTATTTGGTCACAAATTATCTAATTAATTGGTGACAAATCATTTCTCGGACACGAATCAAAAATTTTAGAGGTCGCAAGTAAAAAATTTGAGAGGTCACAATTTAATCATCGGCCATAAACCAAAAAATTTATAAGTTACAATTTATTCATCGTTCACAAACCAAAAAATTTACATGTCACAATTTATTTATGGGTCACAAATTATAAATTTTATAAATCACATATTATTTATTAATCATAAAATATCCAATTTATTGGTTATAATTTCAAATAATTGGTCACATATTTTTTATTAGTAACAAATCAACCAATTTATTGGTCACAATGAGTTAATAACTAACTAATTGATCACAAGTCCTCATTTATTCAACCCCATGGTCCCCAACCCAACACAGCCCCATCACCACCACCAGAACCATCATCTCAGCACTCCTACTAAGAATCAAAACCACCATCTCCACCACACCACCATCGCCAACCAAAAAATCTCAAAACCTACCATCATCGTCGCCACCACCACCACAGTCACAACTAATCCACAACTATAGTCATCGCCACCATCATCTCACCATCACAACCTACCAAAAATCACAACCATCACCTCCTCTATTTCCATCTCCACAACACCATCCCCATCGCCTACATCAACAAGCACACTGCATGCTAAAATCCACAAAATCCCTAAACTCGTCACCGCCATCTGCACTTTCAACACACTACAAATCAACCTCCAACTCTAGTCATTGCAAAATCAGAAAAAGAAAAAGAAACGAAATTTTGCAACGATTGCGACGATTGGCCCATCGATTGGAAGGATTGACCGTTGCTAATATCATTAGCGCTGCGTGCACGCGATTGGCATATCGACTCACCGTACGAACTGAGCATCGCAGCTCAGATCATCGACACTTAGTAATGGTCTAAGCTTGCTAGCTACTGCTCTGACCCAAAGTCGCGTCGTTCGATGGTGGCGTCTTCACAGTGACGACGACGACAACGATGTCGAATGACGAAATGTAGATAGAGATAACTAGGGTTTGTGATGTGTGTATATTAGAGTATATATATTTAGTAAAAATATTTATTTTATAAAAATATTTATTAAATTAAAACTTTTTATTTTTGAACAATGAAACATCAAACCTGATTTTAGAATATTGAATTTTTAAAATAGGGTGTGGTGTAATTTTCACTAAACTATATTGCACATAAATCTAAATCTTCGTCCCACTTTTTAACCATACACTTTTCGAAACTGATTTTCTTACTTTAATTGTAGACAAACAGGGGTTAATAATCCATGATAATCTAATAATAGAGTATTATAACCTGTCACTAGTACTAAAACTGTCACTTGCAATATGAAATTACCCTGTTTGACAACAATTATTTCAAAAACTTTAGTTTCTTATACTCATTTTGAATTACACATTTACACAATAGTATATTTTGCACATGAATCCCAATTTTTCCATTACTTTTCCACACATTCTCCAAAATAAATTACTTTTCAAAACTCCATTTTTTCAAAATAATGACCATCAAACAGGAGCTAAATTCTTGCAAATAGCTCAACGGTATTATGAAATATAAATGTAGTTTTTGCAAAAAGACAATAACAAAGCTTACATATATAGGGCAATTTTATGTACCTTTTTTTCATTGTCTCAAATTTAGTTCAACCATATAATCTATAGATTTAATTGTCAACCACGTCCTTTTATGAAAATTTCGATCTTCTTATCTTTGATGATTCATGAATCGCGTTCGTGTAGAAGCTAAATTAAATATGTTCTTATCTAAAAATTTGAACTTTTAAATGAAATAGTTCAATATGATATTAAAGTCGATAAAAATGCTGAGTTCAAGTCTTATGATCATTGATTTATAAACATAGTGCACATGTTAGATGAATCTCTCGTTGAAACTAAAAGCAAATAAGTAAATGCATTTCCTATCTACCTAAACTATTAGATGAAAATTTCAAGTGTCATCCTTTTTCTCATAACCAAATCAAAATCTGCATGTGAAGTGATGAGATACAAACATATATCAATTATTTTACATGTACATCATTTTCAACATTCTGTCACCATAGTGCACATGTTAGATGAATCTCTCGTTGAAACTAAAAGCAAATAAGTAAATGCATTTCCTATCTACCTAAACTATTAGATGAAAATTTCAAGTGTCATCCTTTTTCTCATAACCAAATCAAAATCTGCATGTGAAGTGATGAGATACAAACATATATCAATTATTTTACATGTACATCATTTTCAACATTCTGTCACTGACAACACATCATTGGACAGTTTAAAAAAAAAAGTTTATCGCCCACAACCTTTTGAGCTCTAGTGGAATATAAACTACATTGTCAACCAAACAATGTACACTTATTGTTATTCAATATATATAAAAAAATTCATCACTATAGGGCGAGGCGAGGCGGGGCGACTCACACTTTTTGATGCTAAGAGCTTCTCCATTGGGATCGTGGACTAAGCCGAAAAGGATGCCATATTACTCTAGAATACTTACATGGTACACTTAATTGTTTATAATTTATCAAGCATTTCTTGATCTATGTAAGGAATCCCAAAATTAGTGAAAGTTCAGGTAACGTTTTACAACCACTTAGAAATTCACAAGAATGTTTTACTATGTTAAATTCAAATTTTAGCGTTACCAAGTTTACGTTCAGACTTACCGTTTGACCTTACGTGCGAAATTAATACAATTAATTGTAACAAGTCACAAATTAATTGTTGTCTAGGTGATTAAACATACATGTCCAATTAAGCCTATGTCGAATTGTCGGTTTGCGTAAAGTAAAGAAAACATTAACAACACCAACTCACAATATGATGACGGAGAAACCCGAACGTGGGTAAACTTCAGGACCAAGCCAGTAGTTTTCACTATACCAAGCCAGTACAAGTTATGCCAAACTCCGTACCAAGTCAGACCTGCTGTTCCAGTCTCACAATCTACTGCCGTAGATACTGCTAGCTTCCCGATCTACAACCTCCAGTCCAATCTGCTGTCCAATACAGCCTCCTGGTCTCTAGCTAATTGTATCACCAAGTGGAATTCTAAGAACCTC